GGAATAAAAACCATGGCTCATATGGTGGCGTCCTTCTCACTCAAGTGCTCAAGTGGTCAGGCCGGGCCCCAAGATTATTCAAACCAGGTTTTACCTTTCCGGCTTCATCAAGGGAATCTGGATCTCCAGACGCGGGATGAGGTCTAAACCCTAAGGGTTCAGGACTAGGGTCTTGACTTACCGGGGCAGGGCAAGGTCTAAACCCGATGGGTTCGGGAACAGGCGTTTCGTAGCATAAGTCATCTGAGCCGGCGCTCCGTACTGAGACAACTCCCTTCCCCTCGGCCCTATACTGAGCAGAAGGGTCAGTAGCTGCCTCATCAACTCGGGCTTTATCTTGGGCAACGCCGAAGTACTCACCTGCACTCCTTCGAACCCTTATAACCTTCACTTGGTCCCGACGGGCTGTTGTGACGTCTATAGACCCTGGAATGGTGCCTGAACCTGGGCAACTTGCAGGCACGCCTGACGAACCTTGTGCGGCGCCTGAACCTGGGCAACTTGCTTGCACGTTGACGAACCTTGCGCGGCGCCTGAACCTGGGCAACTTGCCTGCACGCCTGGCGAGCCTCGTGCGGAGCCTGAACCTGGGCAACTTGCCTGCGCGCCTGGCGAACCTTGGGGAGCCTGAACCTGGGCAACTTGCCTGCGCGCCTGGCGAACCTTGTGCGGAGCCTGAACCTGGGCAACTTGCTTGCACGCCTGACGAACCTTGTGCGGCGCCTGAACCTGGGCAACTTGCTTGCACGCCTGGCGAACCTTGTGCGGAGCCCGAACCTGGACAACTTGCCTGCACGCCTGGCGAACCTTGTGCGGAGCCTGAACCTGGGCAACTTGCTTGCACGTTTGACGAACCTTGTGCGGCGCCTGAACGTGGGCAACTTGCTTGCACGCCTGACGAACCTTGTGCGGCGCCTGAACCTGGGCAAATATCTTGACCTCGAATGGCTTGCGGGGCGCCCCGCACTCGATCGGCTCGGTCATTGGCCGTCACGATCCTGGCCGCCGCAGCGGGACTTTGGAATCCTTGCGCTGCCGGACGGCTAGGCTGGTGGTATCCTGCCCTAGCCATAGGCGGAGGATCCGATCTTCCTTCAGTCGAGGCCCCTGTGCAACCTAGGATGGCTTCCGCCTCTGCCTTCGTGGCTCCTGCCTCCATCAGATCCTCACGATAGAGAAACTCAAAATCTTCCAGGTCATCAACGCCCAATGCGTCAATTGCCCCTATCAGATGGGACACGCCCAGACTCGTCAAGTATTGCTTGACACGCTTTCAGTTAGCAGGCTCAAACACCCTTGCTTCCAGTCGACGAGCATATGCACCTCTGCCCGTAACACTCTGTGGCTGCTGCACGTCATGCCGGAGATCACTGGACTCACCCAGTCTGACCTCCTCGGCGCTTTGGATGTGCTGATGGCCCTCTTTCACTAAGCAAGCCTCCAACAATCCGGGGTCCGTGCCAGGGACATTTTCAGCCTGGGCCGCAAAAACCTTTTCTTTTTTATCCTCAGCCTCCACTGGTGGGTCCTGACCTGGACCCTCAACACCCTCAACACCCTCAACACTGCCTCCCCCTCGACTGAGTCCCAGTCGAAAACCATGTGACTGTAGTTGCTGTCGCTGCTCAGCTGTAGCGCGATGAACCCAAGGCACCGAGAACCCAACAAGCAGCACATGATTTGCTGACACCTCATGGGGCAAAGGAGTTGGCAACGCGTGCAGGCAGTGTGCATCGACGCGCGCAGGCTGACCAACCACCCGGGGAAGTCTGAAGCCGGGGTGTGATGAACCGTCTGGGCCAAGCCAGGCCAAGGGGCTCAGAGGACCATCAACTGCGTGTTGCACACACATGTACTGCTCCGTGGGAGGTAAGGCTAGGGGTAAAACATAATTGTACGTGTGCTTGGCATTGCGACGGTCCACATGCAGGCCGGCCGCCGCAGAGAAGAACAGCCCAAGAGTAGTCCAAGTCCCCATGGGATGAGCCTGGGCCAGGAGCGCATTCAGAAGTTGAACAACTCCTGAAAACACGCTGGTAAGACTGCTAATGCCAGTAAGGCCACCATGCTTATACCAACCGAACAAAAGATACCCAGCTGACTCCCCCGCGCCCAAGCGTGCTGGCAGCGTCTGAGCCAAGTCCCTAAGCGCCGGGGCCGACACAAGCAAGGCCGCAGCAGTACGGAAAGGCACAGGGTGACAGGACAGAAGAGCTGCAGCTGCAGCCGACAGGGCCTGGGCATCAGAGGACTGGGAACCACGAAGCTTGGCTGCTCGGAGCTGCGAGGGGGCCGTTTTGCCCACAACGCGATCCGCAGGCGTAGGTGAGCTCAAAAGAGACACGAACCTCTGGCCCATCTGTGCTGAGCGCGGGACTGGAGCTTCTCTGGCATGAACCGGCAGGGGGTCAGAGGAGACTCCGACTGGTGGAGGCGTCGGATGAACGGCTCCTCTAAACACGGCCGTGGTATGCATCAACGTGCCAGAAGCAGTGCGAACCACATGGCCCGTGCAAGTTCCGATCGACGGAGCCAACACCGTGGCATCTTGCGCTCGAGCAGACCACAAGTCCCGCTCCCAGGATCGAGTTCGGACCCTAACCCGGGTACCGAAAGGCAATGGCTGGGGCACGTCACGTCTGCTAAGTTGTCATTTCGGATCTC